GTCCTGATTCTCTTTCCTTGCAAATAATCTTCTAAATAATCCTACTATTCAAATTTTCCTGGAGAGGGAAGAGGAAATCTATTGGTCAATGTCAATGAAATACGACAGTGGTCTAGAATTCCCGCAAATTTAACAGGAAAAATAGGCAAGTAGAGATGAGTTCTAATGGGCAAAACTGTTACTGATGTTAATTCCATATTAGGTGGTGAGAATCCACAGGGGAGGGAGATTATAAATGCCTCATATATGAGAAAATTTTGTTGAGTGCCTAAGATGTGAGCTCTAGTCTTGATGGCCCTAAAACCCAAGTAGGCAGGAGAAGCTAGCCTCAATAGTGCCTTTGCTCTGGGTGCTACTCCTTTATGCTTTGTGGCATGAGAATGCAGTCATCCTATTAGTCATTCCTTTGAAAATCTTTTTGTCCAGTAACTGTTACCTCTTTAATCTTCCATGCTATGACAACAGTTTCTAGTGGATGTCTGTCGCTGTAGCAGAGAGGTATTAAATTAAAAAGCTGCTGGAAGTTGCATCAAACAGCATGTTGTCTGTTTGTTGAACCTCACTATTAATGACTTGGGGGAGTTTGGTAAAGGAGGAGAAATTAAGGATAAAAAAGGTTTGAAAGGGGAAAATGTGATATGAGGAAGCGGGAGTGTAATGTTTACTTTACTTAAGGAGGTGAGAAAGACAATAGAATCCAATGAATACTTTGGGGTGGGAGCAATTGTTTGAGATAAGTATTTAGAAAGAAAGTATTTTTTTTTCATTATTGAATAAATGTGTTGAATTTCTTCCATTGTGGAGCATTTTTGGTCTGGAAGTTTTTTGCCTTTCTACATCAGAGCATTACAAAGATTTCCAGTTTTACATTGGAGCTGAAGTCTGGCAATTTAACTCTATCCCCAAGAGGCTTGGTGGAAATGTATCGCCTTATAGATCTGAAACGAATTGAGGAACTGACTTTCACAACCACTACCACAAGGCACAGCATGACTGAGCAAATTTGGCTAGTAAAAGTGAATTTTGCAACAAGTAATTTTTGTAGCTATCTTAAAAGATGCTACTTTAAAATCAAAATTACAGAGGAGCAATAAAGGCTACAAAAGAGTTTAATTGTGATAATGACGACTCTTTTTAATAGAAGACATTACAAATTTAACTTTGTAATTAGAAGTTCTGTTGGTGACGTTTTTGCAGGTAGTTCTGACAAGCTACCTTTGTCAAGAGTGCAGTCTTTGGTTGAAAACTTCCAATTATTTAGGCCAGATATTAGTATGATCATCTCCATTTGTGTCTGGTGCTAAGTTAGTAAGTTTGATATTAATTTAATAGGAAATTATATATGCTTTTCCAAGGAGGCAACTGCTCTGTTTCTGGTATTTTATCTTTCTGGAAGGAGGGAGGATTTTTTTTTTTTTTTTAAACTTACCTGAAATGCACAAAAGTCTGAGAAACAGATTTCAGGATTAATTCCAGAGTTTTATGTGCCGTCCCAATGCATTCATGAGAAAAATCCTCCCAATGCTTTTTGAAAACCCAATTGGGTCTGTTTCAGACTCTTAAACTTGCAAAATCTGATTGTACAAAGCAGTCTATGGGTGTTTATATCTTACCAGACATAAAAAGCCGTAATACTTTCTAATATTCTCCTTTACCTCTCCCTGTGCTCATCGGAAAATTGGAAGGGTCATTTTGCTTTGGTTTTGTTTATTTTTTATTCCTCATATTTAAAATGATAGATGAAAACATGGCAAAACCTTTTCACTCAAATGATGTTTCCCTTTCTGACTGAGTATACTACTGTAGAAAACTGTCCGCAGTACTCCTGAGGTGATGACTCTCACAAAAGCTAGGAGAAAAATGCACATCTCAACTATTAGTCAGGCCACAATAGCAACTGTAGTGAGAAACTACCTTTGGAAAATTTGGAATGTGATTCCTAAGCAGTGGATTTTATGTGCGTGTTTTTTAAAAAATGATTTATTTTAAAAATGATCAGAAGATACTTAGAAATGTGTTCTTCAAGCAGAGTAATGTTTTCTTGACAACAGAAAGCAGAACTACTTTTTGGTTGGATGAATTTGCAGATGAGGTCTGTAAGAGTGTCATTGTAGCGTTTGTTTTAGATATCTACTTTTGTTGAAGTTGATGGGAATTCTGGTATTCACAGGCAATTGAGCTAAAAGACTACTAAAGTAATGGTAGTAGTACCTGTTCCTGTGAGTCGTAACTTAAAAATTATGGTTATGTAAAAACAGGTCATTACTTATAAGCTATGAATGTCTTCTCCTTTCAGTAAAAGACAAATTTCTGAAGTGAAAGAAATATGCAATTATGAATTCAAGGAAAAAAGAGAAGCTGGGTAGGAAGCTCACATTTGCTCGCTGTCACAAGAAATGTCATACTCATTTTGTTCTCAAAAGTCCAGCTGTAAGGTGGGTAAAGCAGACTTGCAGCTTGCGTGAAGTTAAGAAGCGTTGATGCTTCCAGTGACGAAATAAATCCTAGTATGTATATTTTTATTTAAAGTAGTTGTAGTTTTGTTTTATTTTAATCTGCACTTTAGACAGTGTATACTGACACTTGGAATTCAAAGCTTTAGACTAGTGTCTTGGGAGCTGAAAGCGGTTCACACTGTTTTTTGCTGCAGATTAGACCCAAGACCAGGTTGCTGATCCTCCAAGAGGATTCTGGAAGAACGTTCTCTATATCTTTACTGCGTTTTGATGTTTCTTTTTATTGTCAGCCGCGGGGATCTGCCCTTGAGAAGCTAAACAGGAGATCTGTATAGCCCAGTCTTTGAGAAGTCTCTAAGTTCTGACTTAACCTTTGCAGACTGAAACAGTAGCTCTTAATATGCACACTGTAGAGCACGTGAGGAGGCACCCTGTGCCATTTCAGTAGCTGCAAAGTAGAGGGAAAATACACTAGGTTATACTTGCTAGGCAAAAAATTATCCGTGTGGAACACGGGAAGGTTGTCAGAGTGGTGTGATCTTTAGAGATGTTTCACACAGCACTGGCTAAATTAGAGCTGTATGTTCTGTTTCTCAAAAGGCTATGAACTGAAATTCATCTATTTCATGATGATGAAATCTATTTCTAGATGCCTCTAGGAGTGAAATAAACTGGCTTGCGTAGGAACAAGCTCCCCTCTTCATGGTGTAAATTTGTGTATTCATTAGTAACTGCAGTTGGGGTATCACTGTCTTCCTCATAACGTTAGCAACGTTACAGGGGCATATTTTTACAAGAATGAAGTGTTCCTGAATAATTTTTTTGACTATACTAGGGATAAACAGGCTTCCACGTCTGGCATTGATGTTTCTTCAGCTGACATATTACGCAAAGGAAGTTTCTGCGCTGCATTCGTATTTGGCCTTTGCTGAGTACGTATGACCATATCTCAGGAGGTTTGAGGAGTAGCAGAAAATCTTACTGTATCTGGATTTGTTTGGGTGGGGGGATGATTTGGGTTTTTTGGTAGACTGACCCCTTGGGAAAGCTCTACTTAAGCGGTCTTTGTACTAAAGTGATTTAGTTGAGGTTTAGGCCCATTTTTCAAAGACAGTGGTTTTAACCAGAGTGCCTAACGGCTATGTTCTTGTATTGATAGCTGCAAACCTGGGTTAGTGTTAACTAATGACATAAAATATGTGAATACAGATAAGCTAGATAAATTCTAGTCATTTTTAAAAGTTTTTTAAACTGAGTCATCCTCTTTAGTAGGAGCTTGAAGAGCAGGATGATGAAAATACGTATCCAAGTAATGGAGTTTTTAATTAAAATATATTAATTGCTTGAAGGCTGCAATGAATGAATGAAGAGTGTAGGTAGCTGAGGTAGGACAAAAACTATTTTGAAATCTTCTATGAAAAAGGCTTCTGAGTGGTCTTCTGGATACTTTTCAGATTACTGGAAAATTAAGTTCAGTGAATGAAGCTTTTTTATTTTTAATCAATTTTTAGTAAAGAACAAAATGCCATTTTTACTGATTAAAAGACCAATGAGATCTGTTTTCTTCCAATATAGCTGAGAAATGAAATGGAAGAATAGATGTATCCATATAGGTTAAAGATGATGTGGAAGATGGGGGGAGGAGGGGAAGAGCTGATTCCAAAGAGCTATAAAATAATATCTGAACACTTAATATTCTCTGTCATATGTGTAATCAGCCCGTTTTAACTACATAATACCTGACCATAACAAGATCGCTTGCAAAAACTGTGCTATATAGAAACTACTGTTACAGAAGACTTCCAAAATGGGAAAATGGGTTTGTTAACGTAAAACTACTCAGTGCTCAGTCCTCCAAACATTCGCTCCAGTTGCTCATCTCTTTTACTTTGATAGAATTAGAAGCACAGGCTGTTCCAAGTGAGTGAGGATTATAGTTTTAGTGTTTTTTAACTCTTCATGGAAGAGAACATGTAATTACATGATGCTATATGGCATATATGTCTGTTGCTCCATATAAATGTGGTATAGTAGGATTGTTGATGCCATTGTAGTAAAATATCTAGGGCAAAGGCAAATTAGTTTGTGCTGATTTTATCAGCTTCTTTCTAAGTATGTTAAATGACTAGTAACCAAGATATTTGAGAAGGTTTTTGAACAGCATCACTTCTAGCTGGACTGTTGCCTGCTTGGGCTAAGAAGTGTCATTAAAAGGAATTCTAAAGCTATTCTGTGAGATACACATCTGTGATGGTATAATAATAACAGACTTTTTTTTTTTTTAATAGGTCCTGGAAAATATTAACAGCACCAATGAATGGGCTGATCGTAGCTCTCAACTCCAGATGACTTGCCCTGTAGTTCAGAAGGGTAGGTATGCTTCCATTACGAAACTGTTGGCAAAATCTAGCATGATTTTGAGAACACATCCTTGTAGCTTTTTTTACTCCCCAGCCACTCTCAAGAGTGTCTGACCGCAGTGATCTCTAATTTAGTGATTTGTTCTTGTTGTAGTGTTGCTTCACAGCAATGGTGTGAGATGTAACATCAAATACCTCCTTGCAGCTTTGAGGATACAGTGCATTAAGGGAGCAGAAGGCTTTGTGCCATTGAGACATGCTGTTGAAAGTTTGGCTCATAAGCACAAAAGCGCAAGCCTCATGCTTTTGCCCATCACTGCACCTTCAAGCTCATCTCACGAGACCTGCTGGGGAGCAGGTTTTCACTGCCATGTGTAGGTCTGTCTTCCTAGATACAAACTGATGCGGGAAGGTCATGTTGAGGTAATACTGTCCTTTTAGTCAGTGCGGAGAATCCATCCCAAACACATCCTTATGAGCGCTGCTGTTACAGTGCAGAGATTTAAGGTGCTGGCACAGTGGTTCAGAAGAGGAGGACAATTTGCATCTCTTATGTATTTGTTTTTTTTTAAAAGGAGTTTGAAGAAATGCTGTCTTGGAAAAGCAGAATTTCAAAGACTGCATGTTTGTGATCAGTGTAGTGTTTTCATGGAAACTGTATGAACCGCAAAGGAAAACGCAGATTTGTTTTGGAGGAGGATTGCATTGTTGATGTAACTTAAAAGAAAAAAAGGACATAGAAAATAACAAAAAGACATTGTGCTTCCCTAAAGAGTTTGCAGATCAGTTAATCTGCAGGTAATTTAGAAGCTAAGAAAAGTTATTTAAAAGGTGGTTTAAATATGAACAGTTGCAGAGATAGTCTGAAAGTCGATGAAGTACCCATAAAGAAGAGATGGTGAGAAAATGATAACTTGACCTTTAACTTGTAACTTCCAATCCTTACATTAGTTTTTCTGTAATAATGCAAAAGTGTGTTCAAATTCACTAACGTTACTAAGAGGGCAGACGTCTCATGTGCTGCGAAAGGCCCAGTACAGTGACTGCTGGTTGGTGGCAGAGGAAAGTGCTGGTGGTGGCAGCAGCATCTGCTCCTGCCTCTGCCTCCGTGAAGGAGCTGGGGAGACGTGGACAGATCTAGCGCTTGGGCTGCTGCTCCTGGTAGCCAGTAACCTGCTAAAAGGGGAAGCAGCATTGCTTCATCGCGGGGTAGGTGTTAGGTGGTAATGGCAACGGGGCTGGGAAAGGTCAGATGAGACAGGAGCACGCACAGCTGGATGGCGAGGAGGTACCTTAGGGCATCAGCTTCTGCGGAAGTGAGGGTTTGCCTTAGGGGAGAGCCGTACGGTAAATGACAAGTGTAGGATCAGTGCTCATAGCAAAAATCTTTACCTTTTTGGTAAAGAGAAGGTGAAGCTGGAGGTGAGGTTCCTTCTGAACATGTTGGTGGCCTGCACAGGGCTGGGATGTTGGTGCTGATGGCATCGCTCAACAGACTACATCTGGGCCCCCAGACTAGAGTTAAGATGTTTTAGAGAATTGGATAAAGGTGTTAGAGCAGGAATTATTAGGAGCAAAGACTGCATATATGCTTAAAAATCTGTTGCTTGCTCGAAGAAAGAAATATGTAAAATACTCTAAAATACATAATGGCTGAATTAGCAATGAGTTCAGCAAGTCAGATAAGTGAATTTTGGATAGAGTAGGAGAATAGGACATGCGAGTGCAGTTGTAAACTGCCCCTACAAAGAGGGAAACAGCTTACTGTAATACTAATTTAAAAAATACTGTCTTCAGCTCCTCTGGACATTGTTTCAATTGAGTGACCAAAAAAAGAAGAAAACTAAGGATAGCTTCATTGGAAGAGAGTCACCGTGAAGTGTGACTGGTCTTGGTGACTTGCTGTCCTCTGAAGTGTCTGAACTTAGCAAAAAGGGCTAATAAATTGTATATGCTGAACACTCATTTTTCTAAAGTAGAGTTACTTTGTAACCCAAGCTTGTGTTGTTAGATGTCGGCCATTACTGAAAATGGTGATGCTTCTGCCGGAAAGCCAAATGAAGAGAAAACATATAAAAAGGTAAGTAAGACCTATAAACTTTTCTCTACATCTTTTTCTGTTTGCATTGGATAGTTGAAACATATTGTGAGTGAAATGGACTTCAGAACTGACTAAGTGCAGGAAAGAGCAAAAGACAAAATACATTCAATTGAAAGTATTTTATTCCTCCTGCGAAATCGTAAGACTTTTCTGCAGGGCTCACTAATTGAGAAGTTCAATACAACTTCTCTAAAATATGCACCCTTACTAGATTATGGAAAATGCCTCCCTCCTAGCAACAGAGATATCTCTGGGCGTAAACTCAACGATGTTATTCTGACACGGTTGTCAGAAATCTAGTACAGTAAGTTCTCAAATGCTTTGCATGTTTATACTGTGTTTCTGGACTGCCCTATACCCTCCTCAGTGCTCTGTCAAAGGTGCGCTCTATGTGTGTGTGTATGTATGTGTGCAGGCACTTTTTTCTTTTTCTTTTTTTCTTTAAAAATATTGCTTAGTAGCTAACACTTAATGTAGTAGCCAGTTTTCTGGGAGCAGCATTATTTAGGTCCACCTAGCTTGGAAGATACCACCAGGGAGATACACACATACACATGTACATGCCATCTCACAGAACAGGTGATTTTTTTGTAATAATACAAGACGTAGCACAGAGATCCACATGCTCCAGTAGTATATAATAGGTTAAGGTTTTTCATTTGTGAGTGTTGTCTGCAGCACTGCTGGTGAAGTCAGGGAGAATAATAAACTACTCTTTTTCCATCCCCTTTTGTTGATAGCCATGTTGTCAGCATCTGGGTTGCCTTAAGGTTATAGCTGCTGTTCTCGGAAATGACTTTGAGATATTGAAGTCAAATTTTTCTTGAAATATGGTACCAGAAAGGGACAAAGCTCAGTGTCTGGGGTAGACACACATACAATTTTATATTGCTAGACTAGATAAGACAAATCCAGGTAGTCCCTCTCCAGGTGAGCTTCCATCCTCCTGGTCACCCTGTGTGCCCTTCTCTGTTCCTGTCCTACTCTAAAATTCACAATATTCCAGAGGAAGCCTTGTAAAGATTTCTTATGGTGGAACTAATTCTTCCCTGTCTTTACTGGAAATATGTTTCTGAGGAAACCTAGGATTTGCAGCCGTGTCACACTGGGGAGGTTGGTCAGCTTGCGATCTTCTCCATATTCTGTGTTTTCACCTGAACTTCCAGTTTTCCAGTACTTGCATCTTCTTCTGTTAGTGAATTTAATTCCTTTTCGTATATTCACATCCCCAAGTGTTGTCTGTTTGAGATCCTGTGTTGATGGAAATGCCCCATAGCATAGTGTTGCCAGCAAGTATGTCATTAAGCTCTAGCTTTTTCTGCCAGTGCTGTTTATAAACAAAATTCATCAAGTTTGGCCCCGTAATTTATCCGTGAAGAGCTTTACTGGCAGAATACATTTGCCTGATGCTTTCCCTTTTAACAAGGTGTCTCTTCTGCAGCCAAGCGCCTTGCCTGCCTTGCAGTTTATGTGAATTCACACCTTCTCCTGATTTCCTAGGTAACATGCTTCACATTTCTTACTGAAGTCCAGACAAGCCAGCTGCATTTGTCTAGAAAGTTTGAGGTGAACCTGGCATGACCTGTTGTTTAACAGGCATTTTGTACCGTTTTCCATTTAATTCCAAGTTGTAGGTAACTTTCTCTGCAAGATCTTGCTTACTTGAAGTCTTATTCACACTTAAGATCAGACCTATCTATCTGCCTCTCTTGCTCACAGTCGCTTTTCTTCCCTGTTGGACATAGGTATTGCATTTCTATTTCTCCAGCCATGTACTATTGCAGTTTGGTTTTTTGGCTGGAAAGATACTTGCAGCTCTGTCCTGGGACTTCCTGTGCCACTTCTTCGAGAAGCCGGGCGTGGGGAGGAGCTTGTTTCCTCAGCGGATGCCTGTTCAGCTCCTGGGTCAGTTCCTGTTCCCATCCCGCTGTGCCCTTGATCCCAGTGGAAACACTTAGGCAAGGTAGGCAGGTAGTTCAGAAGCCGGTCTGTACTTGCCAACCCACCCTCATTGCTCAGAGGGCTCACTTCCCCTTTTTTGTTTTTCTTTGTACACAAAAAAGATGCAGAAGCTTGTGCTATTCATGTTATAGCAGGCAAAGGACAGTATCTTGGCCTGACTTGTGCCAGTTCTGGCTTTATCTCTGCTCTGCTTTGACCTCTAATATGAAGCTCAAGGGCAGTGACATACCAGTTGCTGTTGAGATGGGACAGAGTGAGCTCATAAAGGAGTGTGTGACATGGCACCTGTGATAGCAGTATATGTTTCGGTGACCTGGAATATTTCTGCCAGTCCTGTGTTGCTCTGAAGAGGTGCACTAGCAGGTCTGGTAGCCAAAGAAATTGCGTCACAAGGTATGGGCATGGGGGATTCAACAGAGCAATACCTCAACTGGAGGCAGAATTAGTAATTAACATATTCTTCATAAACATAGACGCTAGATATTTTTGTAACTTCACGTCCCATGTGGATGGGGATTCCTCATGTTAATGTGAGGAGATAATCCTGAAACATCCTGAGAGTGTCAGACTCTCTTCTACAGCAGAGAGCTTAGCAAAGGCAGAGTGAATGCCATCTTCCCTGAACCTGTTGTGGGATCTGCGAGTCTCACGGTGGGACTCGGTAGCAGTAACCTTGTCATGAGCAGGGCTGTAACTCAGCGTTAAGAGCACCCTAGGCTGTGCGGTTTGGTCTTAACTTAAAATCCTTTTTTGGGCTCTTTCTTCTCTCACAGCGTGCCTCTTCAGCCTCTTTGTCTCGGCAACTGCAAAGGGGCTCGCCAATGAGGCGTCTGAAGTTGCTTTCTGACAAGAATTACATGATATTTGGATGCATGCTGGAATGTCTAAAATGCCAAAACTAAAATTAAATTTCTAGGGTAAATAATGCACTAGTCCTGCCCTGCTGAAGGGTTACGTTTTTGTCATGCCTGAGGAAAAAATACCAAAGCATTCCTTGAGCTCTGATTTTAAAAAACAAAATAATAGCTTGTGCTTAAACAATTTTGCATTTTGCTTAATGATATGCTATGTCCAGTCATCTCCCATAAGATGTAGGGGTTATGTTTGTGCAGTATTAGTCATATATATGAAGTACATACGAAGGGGGAAAAGTGGTGCATAGAAAATACGTCTGGTTGTGACGTAAAATCCAGTGACTCATAAGACAAAATGAAGAGATGTAAACGTCTTGGCTTCAGAAGCATTTTCCGTGTGCCAGATCTGGTGAGAAATAAGTCTACTAGTCAGAATATATTAAAAAATATGTTGTAGTTACTTGATCTGAAAATGTAAATATCCCTTAACAAGAACTGTGAACAGTAAGGGAAACTCTGAGGAAAGCTAGAGAAAATAATGGCAAATACTTGACTTTTGTTTAGGTCTATTTTATGTAAGTATGAAGAATTCTTATTTTATCATGGAGATAAAGGTGGTTTTATGGAGTGTAAACAAAACTGCTTGCCTTAGTGCAATACAATCTGTCCCACTGATACAGAGATGAATAATGGCTTACTAAAACCCATTTTCATCAGAGAACAAATGATTTCTAATGGCTGTTTGAGGAAAAACATTCTTCCACTGGGCATGCAGAAAAACTTCACGTTCTTTTTCTCTTGGATCACTTGCTCTTCCCATTTCTGAAGACTCTGGAGCAGATGCTGTAGGTATAGCTTTGAGTAGCAGCTGGACTGACGTGGTTGAGGTGCAAGAGAGTCGGCTTTGCAGCTGCAGTTGCAGCAGTGGAGTGTCACATTGCTAGATGCAGCAGCCTGGGGGGTGAGGGAGAGATAAAGACCCCTTAATCCGCTCCCTGTTCTATTATTTCCTCTTCATTTTTTAATTCTGTGCTTTGCATTCTGTTTGCACTGTCAGGGATTGCACTGCTGAGGGTGATGTTCTCATCTAGTGCACCTCACCTCTGAGGACTAGTTAGCAGGGATAGGTTAGTTTGTAGCTCTGTGTCAAGAGGAGACACCTAAATCTTTCACTGCTGAAAATGGGTGCTCTTCAAAACGTGGTTTCCTTCGAAATGCCCTTTCTGTGCGTATGCGTCAGTGTACTTTGGCCTACTGTTTTTCTTTATGACATAGTTTGGCCTGGATAGACCTCACAGAGTGTTCACTTGCCTGTGCATCCTGCAGGAAAAGGAATTTTGTTTATAATATAAAAATTTTATTTTAGACCTACGGTATCTTTGTTATGCGTTACCAGTATGTTCCAAACAAGTACTAAATTTACGTAGGTAAGCAGTTAGAAGAGCTATCTCTATATCATGGAAGTCTGTAGTAATGGCTGTTTTTCAATTATTTTTAAGTTCACCTTGGTCAGGTAGAAAGAATCTCTTGGAGAAAAGCTAGTCTCAGAGTTTGTTCAGGGTAAAACTTGCTGGAATAATAAGTATTTTGTAGGCCTATCAGTTACATTCCTGTCACTCTTAAATTCTTCAGGTATTTTCTTTATGATTTTGTTCAGCTCTGTTAAAATGGAGGTAGGTAATATCCTGATTCCTTAAATCAGTTTTGCTTCAATTTCTTACAATGTTCATGTCTTCTTTTGAGGAAAAACAAACTTGCCAGCTGCATGAATGTGAGCACTTGCGACCCCCAAGAAAATGTCTTAGATTGCTAGAAGCTTGTGAGAGGCCTTGTACAAACATTACTAGAACATCCTCAGATATTGTACGCTTTCTGAAAAGCATAACTAAGCCAGGACAGTGGCACAGTTTCTGTATGGATTCATTTTTATTGATCAAGCTCTAATATTTTTGATTTTTTTTTTCTGGCACTGCAGTCTGACACAAATGTTCTGCTAGCTTTTAATTGTCTGATATTACTTAGTCAACGTATCCTTGAGAGATGATGGAACACAATTTTCTGCAATGCTTTTGCTTTAGAAAACCACAGCTTTTCCTTGAATATCTTCGCTCTAAAATGGTATTATTTAAAGTGGACGTATAGGGCTCTTCGACTGTGATCCTT